GGGAGTTATACTAGAACGCCCTGGGGGGGGGGTTACAAGAGAGCAGTATCATAGCTGTGTGGAAATAAAGGAACATGTGTGACACACCAGGAGAAAAAGGTGAAAATGGCCAGCAGGTGGTGTAGCGGTAAAGCACATGGGATTGTAGCTTATGACTGATAACTGATTCGAGATCCCAGGAGGAACCCTATTGCTGGGTACTTGACAGAGGTACTTGGCCTGGCTTTCTCCACCAATTAATGTTTTTATTTGTGTAAATAAACAGAATCAAAGCACCCCCGTAAACCTAAAGGTAGATGGTGCCTCATGTGTGTGTTTGTGCTTGTGTGAAACGATACTAGCTGCCAGATAAGGGTCGCTCAGTTTGGCAGCCATTTACCCAGCTTAGAAATGGGACCCCTCCCATCAGCAAACCCCCGGCACTAATGTGGGAGTGTGTGGTGCAGAACCGAAGATCTTATTGTTGTTGTTGTTGTGTTGTTGCTGTTGTTGTGTTGGTGGTGGTGTTATTATTGTCATTATTGTTGTTATCGTTTGGTGTTATTATTTATCTATTGTGCTGTTTTGTCAGTGTTTAGTATTCTCCCATGATATTAATTGCAGTGGTGGGTATTTCTGCACAGGCTGTCGGCATTACCTCACTCTCACATGACACCCGTGATGAATGCCGTCAGATTTTCCCACTACGCCCAGAGCCAAGAATGGCTGCCTGCTGATCCCACCCTCATAGCTTCTGCTGCAATTTCTGCTTGTGCTGCTGCTGCTCTGTCTATCTGACCTCGCAGTTTGCAATGTGCTATTGGTTAGAGTTTGGAGCTGCTGACTGAAAAGTGGCTGAACTCACAGAATTACCGATCCCTCAGATTCTATGTGTACAGTTACTGATCTCTCATATTCCGTTTGTACAGTTACCGTTCAGTTACTGATCTCTCATATTCCGTTTGTACAGTTACCGTTCAGTTACTGATCTCTCTCATTGGTTGTACAGTTACTGTTCAGTTACTGATCTCGCTCATTCTGTTTGTACTGTTACTGATCAGTTACGGATCTCTCACAGTCTGTTTATACAGTTACTGATTAGTTACTGATCTCTCACATTTCATTTATACAGTTGCTGATCAGTTACTGATCGCTCACATTTCATTTGTACAGTTACTGTTCAGTTACTGATCTCTCTCATTCTATTTGTACAGATACTGATCCCTCTGATTATTTTCATGCTGGCCCCTCTGATCAGTCTCATTCTCTCTCTCCCCCCCCCCACCCCCCACTCCAGTCCTCTTCAGCCTGCTGGCAGCGCATGCCCAGACGGAGATGAAGCGCGTGGTGGGGGACAACGCCACGCTGCCCTGCCACCACCAGTTCTGGCAGGCCGATGCCCACATGCTGGACATCGAGTGGCTGCTGCAGAAGCCGAGCTCTAAGCAGAATGTGGTGAGGGGTGGGAGGGGGGGGTCTTTTACTGTCACCACCTCTCTCTCCCCATGCTGGGCCTCATGCACTCTCCCTTAAACCTTCACCCATGGATTATTTTTCATGATTAAGGATGGCCTCCTTAGACACAGAGATATTTACGGGAGTAAATTACACTGATTTGCTACTGACTGACTAACAGCAGACTGGAGCAGCTCTGTCAGGCCTTAGCCAGAGAGGGGTCCTCTGATTGGCTCTAGATTGAAATAACCTCAATGCAATAATAGTAGCTCTATTAGAGTCCTCCTTCATGTTCTGAGGGATTATTGGTTTCACCCAGCAGTGATGCTGGCATTGAGAACTGTCACGTGACTCCACCTTTGCAGGTAGACGCTTTCAGTTTAATCTCGGCGCATGGTTCTGGTCCATCCTGTGAATAAGGCTCCATCTGTTACCATACCTCCCACCACCAGTGTTGGTTTTTTGAAGGGGGGGCAACTGGTCGCTAAAATGTATTTATCAGTGGCCCAGCGGGTGTGTAAGCAGCTTTTAATTGCGAACTCTTAGCAGTGCGCCGCATCTTCGCGGAGGGAGCGGACCGCCCAACCTTCAGGGTCGCGTTAATCTGTTTTATTATTTTGTTCCTGTTGTGTGTTACTAAACGGTCACCGGGCAGGAGAACTCTGTCTCCCTGCAGAACGTAACGGCGGGTTAAACAGCCGACGACCTTCTGAAAAGACACAAACGCGCCCCCATAAGAAAACTGATCTCTTGATGTAACGAGAACGGCAGCAGATGAAACGGGAGAAAATCCAGCTTTGATACCTCCGGTGCAATAAGGGGCTTTATTTTAAATTGGCAGCATGAGTTTGTTAATTAAAAGCAAACATCTGAGAGTATGATGGAGGGATACGGAGGACTGTGTCGTGGAATGCGTAAATCATCCTTTCATCCTGCAGTAAGGTATCTTGGGGAGATGACCTGTGCTCGCTCTCTCTCTCTCTCTTTCCTTTTCTCTCTCTCGCCCTCTCACACGCACATACACACGCACACACAGGACAGGCTGCATGCTCATGCTGAAAAACACACTCAACAGAGCTAAAAGGGGGCAGCATGTGGCTCAGCCGGCTAAGTCTCTATGCATGTGATCGGAAGGTTGCCGGTTCGAGCGCAGCCTCGGCAAGATATTCACATCCGTGGGCCCTTCGGCAAGGCCCTTAACCCCCAGCTTTGCTGCCAAACTTGCTCTCACCCACAAATGTGCCTGTGTCACGAAAAACAAGATGGGGAAGCAAAAAGAGAATTTTCCCATGAGGGATCAATAAAGTGTCATTATTATAATGAAATGAAATGTGCGGGTACATAGGAATTTTTTTACTTTTCACCTATCCCATTACGCTGAGACATAGATAGGTGAGAATGAAGACTGGGATCTGAGCACAGGCTCAGTCATTTATGTAGCGCCCCCTGTGGCTCCAGGGCCCAACAGCAATGTGACTGTTTTGCCAGGCATGGAATGTGAACTGCTGTGCTCCCATTCAGGGCCACAGTGGCGTAACCTGCTGAGCCACGCACCTGCCGGGGCTGTTTCTGGTGGGCGGACCTTCTGCATGGCGGCGTCAGTGGTGTGGCCGGCTGGGTCCGAGGGAGGACCTTCTCTCACCCGTGCTGTTAACCTGTCGTCACCAGGTGATCACCTACTTCGGGGGCAGGGTGTACGAGATGCCGGAGGGGGCGCCGGGCCGCCTTTCCTTCGCCGGGGACTATCTGAAGGGGGACGCCTCCCTGCTGATCAGCGACCTGGCCCTCACCGACTCGGGGGAGTACTTCTGCAAGGTCAAGAGTGGTGGGAAATACCACTGGAATACAGTCACCCTCTTAGTGCTGGGTGAGTCGCACCAGCAGGGGGCACCCATTCTCATTTCCGTCTTACAGTCCAGTAAGGCAGAGGATTCACTCAAACTTCAGCCAGGAGCGGTTACCTTTGAAAATGCCTTTGACTAAACGACACGGTAATCTCACAGATGTCGGTATTCTGACATGTCATTTAGCTAGTAGAGCTTGATTATCGTTGTTATCACTTAATCACATGTATTAATAATATTACAAAAAGAAATGAGATCTGATATGCCATACTTCAAGCCAAAAAGTAAATAAGTATGAAAAGAAAATCCAATGACTTTAAGATTCCAGTATTGAATGATGGAGAGTCGGACCCAAATTGTTCGTCTGAAGCTAGAGTGAGCATCTGCTGCTCTAACCCCCCCACCCCCACGCCCCCCTGCTATAAAGATATCTCAACAAATCCACGCATATATTATTTCAAACAGGTGACACCTTCGATTGGGGGCGTTGCATTTGTCTTGTTTGGCATGGCGATAAGGCACTGGCAGGGATCCAGGAGCAGCAACTGTGACAGTGCCAGCAGATTAAAGAGCCCCCGCTTCCTTGCAGGGCCTCCATCGCATCCCCTGCAGAGCCGGCCTGCAACAATCCGGAGTGTGTGTGTGGGGGGGGGGAGGCGATGCGATGCCTGCTGTAACAGTGTGCCATCACTTTGGGGATGATGCAATGTGATGATGATGTGTCAGCGGTTCCCGTAGCAATTCAGGTGGCGACCAAAAAGGTCAGCGATGGAATCATTTCGTGGGCCTTGGCTGTGTGGTTGCGCTCAGAATAACAGTAGCCGTTTCACCTGTTTTTATCCACGTAAAGTTTAAAATACAGTTCTTCCCTTAAAGGGACTGCCGTCCCCCCCCCCCCCCCCCATATAGTATCTTCTTGATTACCCTGCCTGCTAAACAGTGTAATGCTAATCGTCATGGTTAGCCCTCCTTAGCCAGCCAGAATAATTGCGTAAAGCTAATTAGCTTGATTAGCGCTCATTAGCCTTCCAGTTTAAAACAGTGTAAAGCTAATCAGCTTGCTTAGCACTCACTAGCTTTCCAGCTAAACAATGTAATGCTAATTGGCTTGGTTAGCCTTCATTAGCCCACAAGCTAAATAGTGTATTGCTAATCAGCTTGTTTAGCGCTCATTACCCCATCAGCTAAACAGTGTAACGTTATTCAGCTTAGTTAGCCCTCGTTAGCCAACCAGCTAAATAGCGTTATGCTAATCAGCTTGGTTAGCATTTGATAGCTTTCCGGCTAAACAGCGTAATGCTAATTGGCTCGGTTAGCCCTCACTAGCCTGCCAACTAGACAGCGGCTCCTCTCTCTCTCCCTCCCACAGTAAAGCCATCCAAGCCTCGCTGCTGGATGGAGGGGCGTCTCCTGCAGGGCAGCGACGTGAGGCTGAGCTGCCGCTCCGCTGATGGCTCTGAACCCATCCGTTACAGATGGGATCGGCTGCTGGACAAGGGCAAGAACGTGGGCAGGCTGCCCCCACTGGCACTCATGGGTAATCTGCTCCGGCCGCCTATCTACGCGAGCCTGCCTCAGGGCACACATACACACTTGTTTTTAAAGAGACACATAAGCTCCACACACACGTGGCAAAGGTGGGATTCAGATGACCAAGTAACAAAAATGAAATAGAAGTACAATCAAACGTCGGAGAAACTGGAAGCTTGGTGGGGAGATTGTGCCTTTTAATTTGGCCAATAAAAAATCTGGCGCTGGACATGATTGACATGGATGATGCTTGAAGTGCCGCCTCTCTGATGGGCATCTCTCATCTCCCGGTGTGACCTTCTGCTTGTGCTTGCTGCACTCCAACCCTCATTCTTAGTCACATCACGACCTCCGCCACTTTACAATCCTTCTGAAAATCTAATCTTAGCATCGCCCATCGATTAATCCTGCTGGCGCCGATGCCCCGGGCCGTGATGGTCGATCTGGGTTTAATGGTGCGGCAGGCGTCCCGTCAGCCACTAGTGGACGTGTTTCTGTTGTGGGGGATTCCACTTCCCTATCCCTTCGTGGGCAGATCTGAAGAACCCGGAGATCATCACGCTGAGGAACCTGACACAGGACAGCACCGGAATGTACCGCTGCACCGCCAGCAACGACGTGGGCGAAGAGAACTGCCTCATCGAGGTCAAGATGAACTGTGAGAGCGCCACCGTCAGGCCCGTCTGTGCAGCGCATGCACCCACCCCAAGAACACACGCAGTCAAGCATGCATGCACACGCCTGTACACACACACACACACACACACGCACTCACACGCACACACTTTATGCCTCTGGTTTTGCTCAAACCCTCATCTTGTAAAGTGGAGACATTAGAGTTTGGTGATGATTCACTGTTGCTGTACAGATTAAACGATTAATCTCAAAACATCTTTATATTAAGCGCAGATCAGATTACGGCAAATGTTACAAATATAGGTATTTTTGCAAAAATAGGTTTACAGCATGTATACACATGTCATTTAGGAATTTAAATGTCGGTGTGTGCACGCACGAGTGTGTCTTATTATCATATCCCCCCTCTATCCCAGATGTGCGTGGCGTGGGTGTGGTCGCGGGTGCCGTGGTGGGCGTGTCCTTTGGGGTCCTTCTCATCATCCTCATCATTTGGCTGGTTTTCCGCAAGAAGGAGAAGAAGAAATACGAGGAGGACGAGACCCCCAATGAGATTAGGTAGGTGCTGCCCCCTAGTGGGGGGGAGGAGCAAGAGCGGCTGGATCTGGCTTAACGCAGTGTCAGTCTGGTTTTCATTTGTATATCTGTGATTGTGTACACCTGCATGAGAGTCATTCATTATGCATGCAGGAGTTGCCTCAGGCAGGCAAGTGGCAGGCCGGGCCTTTCAGCCTGTGACACTGTTTATCGAGTAACACTGGACACACTGCAAAAAACAAGCTCACTGGGGACTGACTGTGTCGCCTCTGACATGCTGAGGAAACGTGATGTGAATCTGTGAGCAGTGTGCGTGTACATGTATGTGTGTAGCAGGACACAGCCATGTGCGGGCACACGCGTTAGTGTTTCCATCTGTGCGAGAGCATACGTGTAATAGCAAGGGGTTGTGAGGGTACGCGTGTAAAAGCACATGGCAGTGCAAAAGCACGCGTGTGACATCATGCAACTGTGTGAGGGTATGTGTGTAACAGCATAGGCATGTGTGGGCGCACACGTGTAATAACATACACCTGTGTGAGGGCACGCATGTAACAGCACATGGCCGTGTAAGGACACGCGTGTAACAGCACATGGCCGTGTAAGGGCACGCGTGTAACAGCACGCAACTGTGAGAGGGTACACGTGTAACAGCGTACAGCTGTGTGAGGGCACATGTGTAACACCACGCAGCCATGCAAGGGCAGCACGCAGCCGCGTGAGGGAACACATGTGACAGCACGCGGCCGTGTAAGGGCACGCGTGTGACAGCACACAGCTGCTGCACGTGCCCCACGGCTGCGCTCTGTGTCCCGCTCAGGGAGGACGCCGAGGCCCCCAAGGCGAAGCTGGTGAAGCCGCACTCGCTGCCCTCGTCGCGCTCTGGCAGCTCCCGCTCCGGGACCTCCTCCACGCAATCCATGGTGCCCAGCAGCGGGCCGCACGTGCCCCCCCAGCGGCCCTGCCTCCCCGTGGTGGCCGCGCTGCGGGAAAACGGCCGGACGACCGCCGGGCTGCCCCCCTCCCCACCAGCCTACTCACGCACCCCTCCCAGGGCCTCCGAGCTGGGCAATCCCCGGCTCAGTCCCGGGAACCTGGTTCGCATGGGCGCCACCCCCGTCATGATCCCTGCCCAAACCAAGGCCTTTCAGACTGTGTAGAAGGGCTCCCCCCAGTGGCAGCGTGCGGGAAAGATGCAGACAGGAAGTAGCAGACTTTCACATAAGCAGCATCCAGCTGCAGATATCGTAGTGGATATAACTTAAAGGAATTAATAATCAAACAGCGTTTAAATGAATGCATATTAAAGGAGACCTAAAGTTCCTGTCCCTCCTGATTGAAAAAACTTAAGCCCAAGGGTAGACATTTTTCTGTTTTTATTTGTATTTATCTACAGATGTGGGTGCAAAGAGACAGAAGCAGATAAATGGAGTTTATTTCATTTCGAAACACACAGAGCTTGTTGCTGACTGAAGAGGTGATTTGACGTTACAGAGACAGGGTCTGTGGTCAAAAGGCCCGCGTTGCTTCAGAGGGCTTGTCCTTCACCCTTCAGCATGTGTCCCGTGTAGAGAGCCCTCTTGGGCACGCCCAGGTTAGGGGTCAGACGCTATGCACACATTTCAGCTCCAAAAAGCTTGCTAAGAAGTCTGAGCCTAAGACTTATCACCAACAGCAAGAGCTCCCAGTACTCATGTGCAAAGTCCACTGGCTAAGGGGCATTCCTGTGAGGTTACTCCTCATTTAACAGTGAGCTTACTCCTCATTCGACAGTGAGGTTACTCCTCATTCAACAGTGAGGTTACTCCTCATTCGACAGTGAGGTTACTCCTCATTCGACAGTGAGATTACTCCTCATTCGACAGTGAGGTTACTCCTCACTTAACAGTGTGGTTACTCCACATTTAATAGTGAGGTTACTCCACATTTAACAGTGTGGCTACTATTCATTCGACAGTGAGGTTACTCCTCATTTAACAGTGTGGTTACTCCTCATTTAACAATGAGGTTACTCCTCATTTAACAGTGAGGTTACTCCTGACACAGAAAGTGTGGTGATTCCTGGAGCATTTGAAAGGATCAAATAGCTAAAACATTTAGCACATCGTGACTCCCAACAATTAAAGAGTTACACACAACTGACAGTTTTATCCACAAGGAGGCGCTCTGCCTTCTTCTGGCCCTTGGATGGGACACTTGACCTCGGAAACACCCCCCCCAGCATAAACAGCCAGCGAGTTTACCGAAGAGGTCACCAATTTTAAATTACAATTAACTGATTTATCTAGTGCTGTGATCCAATGCGACCTAAGGTGGAGGGAATGGTAATGATTTATGGGTGCACCCTGGGATTCAAACCCACAACCTCTACATACCTGCATACATTACCAGCAGCTCCAGTTGGCTGTACCTAAACTTAAAGGACCCCCCACAAAATACGTGCATAAAAGTATACATACAGGAATAAACCGTCTCCCACGACACTATCAGAGGACCTTATTAAACTTTAAATGTATGTTAACGAGGATGGGTCACATTTATACTCCCCGATTTGTTTAGCGAAAAAGCCTCCATAGCTGTGCACATCTGGACACTAGGTGGCGCCATGGCACGCCACGCTAAGAAGACACTAAGGGCCACCAGGACGTCTGCCTTATTACCGCTGGGATTTCCTGCGGGGACACATCGCCTATGGCAAACGCGCTGTTTCTCACCACCAAATGGACAGCGATGATACCACACATGGCCATTGGGTGGTGCTGTGCTGGACGAAGCTGAATAATGGCCACTCTGAGAGTTCAGGCTTACAACAGCCCTATTCTCGGTGCGCTGTTTCCAACCTCAGCTTTTGGTAAATATCTCAATGTCATTTTAATTCTATAAATAAATGAACCTTTCTGACAATGTGGTGTAAGAAATAAGCTGGACTGGAGGCCTGTTCTGTGTGCCTTTGAAACCAATTTCTTGCATATGGGGTTACTTGTTAATCCTTACGGCATATGTAAATAGCCAGCTGACTGTACAGAATATTAACAGAACCAAATAGAAAAACAGTGAAGATGGGGGTTGAAATATCGGTCGGGTATTTTTGGAAATTTTCACCAGAGTAAAGCGCAAAGACAGAGGACGGTGCAGCGGTTAAGGACGTCGCCGATTCAGGTGCCGGTATGGGACCTGCTCTTTGTCCCTCCAACAACTTGCTTAACCTGAATAGCTATTCCAGTCTAAATTGATAAACATGAATCTATCAGCATCTCGCTTGTTCATATATGTGCTTCGTTTGCATGTGTAACTCACAGATAATGTATTCTTATTTTATGCAGCCAGGTTAAAGAAACTGTGATTATAGATTTTCTTTTTCTTTTTCCAGTATGTTATTACTGATTGTCATGCAAAATAACGGATTTTCATGGAGTGCGGTCAAGATGCGCACGTAGGCTATGTTGTATCCCTGTCCAGGGTGCCCGGACGGCAACCTTTAAAAAAATCAAGCCTGCAACCGCTGTTGTCCTCTTTTTCAACGGTTCCTCTTTCATGATAGTGGAACTTTTGAATGCCACGGCATAAAACGGAAATATTTAATTTTTTGCTCGCGCCCTAAAGTGAAAACACGGATCGCTTATCAAGGAAGGTCCAGGTCAACTGATGGTGTAAAGGGCTTAAGGACCCGGAAAAAAAAGCAGCTCAGTTGGTCTGGAGACCCTCACTTTCTCCCGGCGGGGATGGTAAAGCACTAAAACATGAAAATCGAAGGGATCGTGGAAGAGGGACATCTTGTATTTCCACGAGCATTTGAAACAAGCTCTTCCGTTTACAATGCATATTAAGCAGATGAGTGAATGTGGAATTATAATCTACTTGGACTTTAAACACAAGCGTGACGATCTAAGCAATATCACAAAGTTCAATTCAGTGAACAGAGAGAACCTTGATTCACGAAAACATTTTAATGTACATTTTCGCAGTCAAAGGTTTGCGTCTCTGAAATAACACGTAGAGCAAACGCTCCGCTCCGCTGGCGCCCTTCTTCCTACGAAAGGGACGTGCCCTTGTGTTTTATGGCGTGCCTGACGGGCCTTATCTAATTATTATACAAGAACCACATTAAGCAGATTGTTTGAGATGAACCTCTCTCCAATGGACTCGCAGAATGGAGGCATTTTCTCCATGACCTCTGCATACGCTCACCGATTGAGGTGCACCAAACGCCGACTCGGCCATTTCACTGGAGATTTTTCCTATCTCGTTATATTAGGCCTGTGTGCTCATATGCGGGTCGGCATAACATATCAAATTATGAATAAATATTGTAGGAAGTTATAAGTGGTTGTTCCTTTGTTTTTTCGTTTCTCATTTACCCAGGTTTATTTTTCATAGGCCTATCTATTTTTGCGTTCAGTTATTTCATTCCAGTCTTTATTCCAACCACCTGTTTCTTGATTGTATATTGTCAGAAAGACTATTATAAAGGGAAACGCCGAACATTTCTCACCTTCTCACGATCATCTTGCAGTACTGGTTTGACCGGAAACACTATGTATATATACCATTCGCTGGTGAAACTGTACATTTGTAAAATATTAAACATTGTTTTTCTTTGTAATAAAATATTCAACGTGTAAGCATCTAGTCCCTTTCCTTTTGTGAATACATCTGACTGATGTGTTTTCTTCTGGTTTAAATGATAAGGTGCGGAATTACTCGTTAATGTGTTTACAAAATGTTTTATTCCTATAATAGTACTCTATGCATATGTTTTACCGAACTTAGCAAATCGGGAAGTAAAAGGAGGTTAAAAAAAGCCGGCTGTAGACGAATAAAATGAAACGCATAGCAACGCGCTGTTTGAGAGGTAACACAGGCAGTAAGGTTACGCGGCCACAATGAATACGGCAATGTCGTTTTATTTTACACTTAATCCATAGTATTATAGGCTAAACTTCAGTAAGTCGATTTCAGTGATTTGTGGGTATCTGTTTAGAAATCCAGATTGTTCAGATGCTCTGCTTATTGTCTGGGAGAGGGAGTGACTGGATGGGTGGAAGTGTGATGTCTCCCTCAAGTGGTACATTTTCATCATGACTTCTAACAAACTCCGAAAAACAAACAGGCCTACATACAAACACACGCGCGTTATATTAATTACTGTTTTCTGCCTTATGTCATTATATAAGTGTCAATTTCGATTTTTCTTTTTACAGAATTTGTAGTGTACAATTCGCAGCATCTAATGACTAAGGAACTAAATATTCATTAGGACAAGATATCTCTTGCTCTGCTTGATGCCAACAAAATGTTTTGTACATATATACGCCTAATTATGTAGGCCTAATGTTCATGATATAATAATTATATTACTGCTTAAGACATACACGACAGTGAATTACACTGTTTAGTCTGTTCCAGGGAAAAAAAATGCTAACAGATGCATTTCCCAGAGGTACGCAGCCAGATTGGCCCGTGATGAAATTAATATTCCCCCACTAAGATAATGTTTAGTTGGAGCTTGTCGGGTCGCATCCAGAGGAGAGCAAATTGATTACACTGCAACTGACGACAGCGCTGTTGCTTTACGACGCGGCTAAGTAATTAATAGCGCACGTTTGCGGATGGAAAACGGTGTGAAGGTAAAGGTAGCGGCGAGTCAGGCAAACTTAACGACCACGTCTCGGATTATCCTGAAATCCATCGCTGATCCCCTTAAAATAGCGTACTTTTAAAAAAAAAAAAAAAACTTGCTTGCTTTAACCAACACGTCCCGCACGCTGTCTTGCTTAACTATAAACAGTCAATTCCTAATCTTTTCTTGATCTTACATTAATGAAATTGTTTGAGAAATTTTCTGCCCACAGTTAGAGACTGTGTGTCCACTTTTCCAGAAGAGACAATTTCCTAACTGTGTCTGAGACGGCAGTCATTTCTGAACATACGGTATCTTGAAAAACGCAGGCCCGTTCTCTAGCACTGGAAACAGGTCTATAGGAGCACCACCCATCTCTAAACACTCCATCCCCGCCCTCCGGCAGCTTCCCTCCACCTTACGCCGCCGTGCACTGCAGGACTCCGATAACCCATCCCTGCATCCCTGATACTCCAGCGGAAGGACCCGGCGTCAGCTGCATAGCCTACAGCGGGCGGTGGGGGCGCAAAGGGAGACAATACCTCGTTTCAGAGGCATCCCGTCCGCTTGAGCGGGGTAACTGTCCGCGATCGTTAAGCTGCCTCAAAGTTTGCCCCGCAGCACACACCCCCAACGTTTTATTAGTTACACACGTGGAGTGGAAAATGGCTTTCGCGAACCCGGGACACATCATCCCACAAGTGAAGCTGGAGGAGGCGACGGACGACAGTTCACTCCAAAGCATCGCTCAGCGGCCTTTGCAGCCGGGGCAGCCGCGAAGCAAGCCCTCTTCCCCGGCAAGCATGAGGAGACATCACCGGTAAGGGATCTGCGCTGCTTCCTAGACTTAAGCTCAATGACATTTGCACGCATCCAAGGTTGAAGAGGCGATACTGATCGTAAACACTGCCCGGGCGATTGCACCCGGCTGGTAACTAACATTTTTCAAATATTTCGGAATACGACCGACTGAAACACGCCACCTGCTATAACCTATGTGGTATAGTTAGGAATTTCCTGGGATTTCCGATATGATGAATCCGGAACGGCCTGTAGGCGCACCGGCATTGGAGATGTTGACATAATACGGCCGCCTTTGACAGCGGCGTCCGCAACAATGTGCGTAAATGTCAGATCGGGTAAGCAGGGAAACGCTCGCTGCTTGTTCCATGGACGTACGGGTCGGCAATCCTTCCTGTTTGTTGTGAACATCTAACGACTGTAGTAAACGCACATCTCTACGCAGTCTTCAGTGGTAATAAATAAAACACAAAACAACCAGTGCATTTAAGTGGGATATTTGTCATTTAAATGTACATAAAGGGTCTAGCCTTAAGACTTTTAGCTGGTAACTTTTCAGTGGCAGTGTTAATATACGTTGAAGACATTGCGCAAAAGGGATAATTAGTAAAGGAATCCCGGGACCGTCAGCTCTGGTCTCGCAGCCCGGAGCAGAAAAAGCCGCAGGGATTTGTGTCGGTAATCCCTCTTTGGCTATAGAATCACGGTGCCTGATACCTAATTCGCGAATGATACCTATCGTCACCCGTTAATAATAATGTGTACAACCTTTCTTATATTAAAGTTAATTACCATCCTCACTGGTACATTGAAACGAACATGACTCTATAGTTGCTTAGGGAGCAGAAAAATAACTTTGATCGTGTGACATTTTGCAGGCTTTACACGCCTGGCAGAGTTCATTTCACGGTAACTTTCCCATGTTGCGAATCAGCACTGTGGCTGATTAATCTTTCCGATTCGTGTCTGGCGATGAATCCGAGCCAGACCAAGTTATTTATCAGGTGAGGTCTGGACCGATAAACAATCACCAAGCCACCAGCCCGACATCCCGGCCACATTTTTCGCTTTGTTGCGTGAATAATTTTGCCTTCCTTTGATTTAAATTAGGCCTAATTGTATGGTCAACAAACAACGGCAGCATGACACAACTTTGGGAAATGCGTGTTTTATTGGTTGATTGAATGGTTTATATAGCGCTTGTCACTAAGTTACAATGGAGCCGCGTTGCAGCATTAAGAAAACGTTGGGTCCATGAGATTCGCAGTGAGACAAGAGTAGGTGACGTCTGTGGTGATGGCGAAGTTTCGGTCTGATCACACACGCTTTAAAAAAAAATATTTTTAAAAAAGCGATGACGAAGCATGATTCGTGACGTGAGGTTGGCCGTCGGCGACCCTGACGGGAGGATCTCTCTCAATCGATATCTGGCCGATCTTTTCCGGGGTACGAGCGATGCAGGCATGCGTCTGTCACCTAATTTTCACGACGTAATTGCAAAACAAAAAAACCCAAAAACCTCAGAAAACAAGCATTGTAGAACTTTAGAAATGATCTAATGCGGATGAAAAAAAAAACTCCAGCGGCTGATTCAAGTGCCGCCTCAGCACTTACAAGCTTAACAAATACATTAAAGTGTGAAATCCAAGACGGTACTGTCTGCCTTGGAGGAAAAGAATAGCATTTATTCTAAAAGCTTACTGTCGGGCCATGTGAATATTTTTATAGGCCCTACTATTAACATACGGAGGGGGGGTTGGGTTAATGTGTTACAGCGTCCACCACAGAAAACGTGGAATGGGACGTAATGTACATGCATTTTAAATGTGATTACAGTAAATACCATGACTCTCTCTTTGTGTGTACCAGACATGGAGGGAATTGGATTTCTGGAGCATCACCACACAACAAGGACCCTTATTCCTTAGAGATGTACACGTGTGTATAATACAAACGTCCATGTTTTAATGCAGTATTTCTCTGGAATGGTGTTTGGGTATTTCTGCACAGTGACTCAGAGATTTAGTGAAGTGTGACCGTACATTATGTGGGGTTTTCGGTGGCCGCGGCTCACGCCGTGTGTCAGGACTCCGCCGATAGGGGCTCTCCGCCGATCGGGGCTTTGTTCCAGGCACTGCAGGTTTCCAGCGGTCGAGGAAAACGTCCCTATTCTTGGCACTGTGGCCCATTTGAATCTCCAGCCAGCTTGTGCGCCCGGATTAGAAGCAGTAAAAGCCGCCTTCCCGTGAACTAAGTCGGGTCAGCGCCGCTCCGCTTCACCGCTCACGCCCTCCGCTGCGCCGGCCGGTTTCAACGCTTCGTTGGTCCGGTTGCCCGTGTCACATCCCGCAGGGTGTGCCGGTCGCGCTTCAGTCGAGGCACCCCTGTGGTTCTTTTGGAGTTAATGTAGCCGGATTGTTATGGATATCAATGTTGTGGCTAGTAGGACAGCAGCCATGGTGAGTGGCGGGAGATGGACTGTACCACTGGTGCTGGGTCCATTGATCGGTCCTGGTCGCTGATACCAGCATGGGGCAGAGCTGGGAGGATGTCAGAGGAGTGTGCAGAAGAGGGGAGGGAGATGAAATTCTTCCTGTACGTGGATGACTGGTTGTTTAAGGGAATAACCACGTTTTTTAGCAGCCGTGTCTGTGTGTGTCTGTGTGTGTAGAGGGTTATTTGGATGGCGTTCTGGATGGGCTGGGAGCTTGAAGGGCACCTTATGAAGCAAAGCACTTGGAACAGGATGGGTTACCCCCCAGCACCCCCCCACACACACACACACACACACACACACGTCCTTGACAATGACTGCCTCGGTCTCGCCGCCGGCCCTCACTGGCAGACCCTTCTGTCACCAACTGCTGTGCCCACAGGCCAGCAACCCCCCTGCTCCCCCACCAAACGTGAATCTTGTTCCCCCCCTCACCCACCCACCCAAGGGCATGTTTGTTGTGGCAACATTCAGGCCTCTTTATCACCAGAATGTCTTTGTTAAGTTCAGCTGTCTTACCTAATGGGGGTCTGAGTTTGCGTCTCTTATTTATGGAGACTATGTCTATATATGGACTATGTCTTTAATAATTATTAAAAATGAAATGTGTGATATCTTAAAAAAAACTGAAAAAAAAACTGGAGAAGTCAGTCAAAATATAAACAAAGTCTATTTTTAGAAGTAATTAATACCTAATGATCCCCCCC